CCACAGCTGCCTGGCCTCCGGGCAGGTGGGGCTGGGGGGCGGACGCGGGGGTGGGCGAGGCGGAGGGAGGAGAGCCGTGGCGTTGTCGGCCCTCCCCGCAGGTTCTCGGAGGAGTTGGTTGCATTTCTGCATTTTCGTTGTGTCCTGTGTTTTCCGGTGCCTCGGCTTCTAGTTCTGCAAATCTCTCTCGAGTCCCCGGGCGTTGTCCCTGTGCGGACCCGCTCCTGGCTGTTGCACGTTTTTTTTTCTTGCTGTTGTGGTTGAAACCTTGCCGTTTCTTTGGCAAAGTTAGCGTCGTCCGCTTGGATTCTCTGCGCTGGGCTAGGGTCGCAGTTGTAGCGCCCCCCCCCCCCCCAGCGTCCCGCCCTGCCTTGTTCAGTAATCGCCTGCTACATTCAAGCTTTAGTGAACACTTCGCTCCTTTGCTTTTTTTGTGCCTGCACTGAAGCTTGGGCTCCGGGCTTAGGGGCGCTGTGGGTTAGCATTTCCACTCCAAAGCTGGCACCCTACCACTTAACCACACCTCACTGGAGGCTTTTTGCTGTTTAATTGGAGATAAGAGGCTCTTGGACTTCTTGCCTCCAACTGACTTTCAAACCAGGATCCTCAGATCTCGGCCACAAGTTTCTGTTAAAACCGAGATTTTGAGGATCATTCTTTGATAAAACTGTGATGTTTTTATCCCAATACTTAGGAATTTTATTTAGTGTATTGCTCTATGCAGTGCAAAAAATTTGAAGCTGGCCAGGCGCTGGTGGCTCACACCTGTAATCCTAGCTACTCAGGAGGCTGAGATCTCAGGATCAGGGTTCAAAGCCAGCCCAGGCAAGCCTGGGCAGGAAAGTCCATCAGACTCCTTATCCCCAATTAACCACCAGAAAACCAGAAGTGGCACTGTGGCTCAAATGGTAGAGCGCTCACCTTGAGCTGAAGAGCTCAGGAACATTGCCCAGGCCCAGAGTTCAAGCCCCATGACCGCCAAAAAAAAAAAAAAAGAAGCTGTGCCTGTTCTTTTCCTTGAAGTCAAGGAAAGGAGCCCAAACTACCGTGCCTCAAACTCTGACATGGGGGCTATTTAAAAAATATAATTTTATTGATATTAAGTTGTTACACTTTTGTAAGTTTGGTAGTGAGCACATTCTTTTTGGACAAAGTCACCCCTTCTAACTTTTAAAGTCAGTTTTAGGCAGGGTGCTGTTGGCTCAAGCCTGTAATCTTAGCTATTCAGAAGGTTGACTGGTAACTGTTCAAACTCAGCCAGGGCAGGAAAGTCAGACTCTTATCTCCAATTAACCACCAGAAAACTGGAAGTGGCACTGTGTGGCTCAAAGTAGCAGAGCACTAAGCTTGGGCTGAAAAGCTCAAGAACAACGCCCAGCCCCTGAGGTCAAGTCCCAAGACTGACAAAAAAAAAAAAAATCAGTTTAGAAGTTGTCTTGCCTGTAAGGATTGAAGTGAGAGGAGGCAGGGCACACGGACTAGCTGGCCAGATGTTGAAAGATAACCAGGATTGTTATTGGACTAGAACACTGCAGGCATGGCATTGGGTAGACAAACTAGAGAGTTGGCAAAGACCAGATGAGAAATACTGATGTTCTGGATGATTCCTCTGGCTGCCTGTACAGACTATGATTCCCAGCCTCATCCTATTCTTCCACAGACCCCTTGTTTTGAATTTTTTTTAACTCCAACTGCATTTACTCGTCATTCATTTCTCTCAACTAACGATATATAGAACTGCCCGTCTAAAGCTTCTGCCCATCCTAAGAATGTCGTTGTTACAAGGTATGAAATGAATACAGCTAAAAGCACAAGAAAATAGAAGGCTGTGTGGCTAGAACAAACTGGCGGAGTTTGATTAGGCAACAATGCCGACTCAAGCTGTGGGCTGTCTTATCACCTGACCCTTCTTCCATCCCCCGGCCACATGGACCTACGGTTGTGACCACTGGTCCAGATAAGAAGGGGCTAAGTCCAGAGAAGGGCAGCAAGAAAGAAGGAAGAATTTCTGAGAAAGAAGGTAGCAGAATTTGGGGCTGGGAAGGTGGCTCAGTGGTAGAGCGCTTGCCTTGCATGCTTGAGGCGCTGGGTTCGATTCCTCAGCACCACATAAGCAAAAAGAAAAAAGCCGGAAGTGGTGCTGTGGCTCAAGTGGTAGAGTGCTAGCCTTGAGCTGAAGAGCTGAGGGACAGCGCCCAGGCCCAGAGTTCAGGCCCCATGATCGGATTCCCCCCCCCCAAAAAAAAAGAAGGCAGCAGAATTTAAGCAACTAGTCCTTGGAGAGGAAAAGAGCGTTGAGGGTTGGGGTGAAGGTATCTGCACAGCAGAAGTGAGGGAAGATGATGCTGATCAGGGACTAATACTTGTACCCATTGATAAGATCTTATGGAGAACACTGAATGTAGATTCACTTATGTGCCTGCCCCTGGTTTTAATCATGTTATGGGAATTCATACTTTTTAATTATCTCAACAACCCTGTGAAATGTGATTGTCATTATGCTCATTTAAAAGTACCTGAAGCCTGGTACCAGTGACTCATGCCTGTAATCCTAGCTATTCAGAAGGTTGAATCTGAAGATTGAAGTTTGAAGCCAGCCTAGGCAGAAAAGTCTATGAGACACATTCTCTCTCTTTCTCTCTCTCTCTCTCTCTTTCTCTCTCTCTCTGAGTAAAATGTTAGACTGGAGATATGGCTCAAGTGATAGAGGCCAGCCATGAATACATGACAGAGTGAAGGTCCTGAATTCAAGCCCTAATTCCAGGGGAAAAAAAAGAGAGAGAGAGAGAGGCTAGGTGCTGGTGGTTCATGCCTATAATCCTAGCTACTCAGGAGGCCGAGATCTGAGGATCATGGTTCAAAGCCAGCCTGGGCAGGAAAACCTGTGAGACTCTTATCTCCAACTGGAAGTGGCACTGTGGCTCAAGTGGTAGAGAGCTCGCCTTGAGCTGAAGAGCTCAGGAACATCGCCCAAGCCCAGGATTCAAGCCCCATGACCGACCAAGAGATTAAGTATCAGTTCTAGGTTACCCAGCTGGTTAAGTGAAAGAACCAGGGTAAAGATGAGTGAAGTCTGACTCCATAGCTGGCCCTCTGGCTTCTCTACCTATAAGTAACAAAGAAACTGCTTACAGGACAAGATGATAGAATGACAGGAATCTTGAGTTAAAGTGCTATAGACATACCAAGTCAAGCTAGACAGCAGACATCATCATCAGTCTCGTGATGCTGAGACATTTTTGTGGACTAGATGGGGCCTACTAGGCTCAGAGGATAAGAAGCCTGTCCTGTAGTAAAGGTGACACATGAAGCCCAAAGGTTAGCACCGTGTCTTAGGATTCCTCGTCATATTTCCCTGTGGGCCAGGCGATTGTTTATCTTCTAAACTTCCAACATGGTTGTTGCCTTCTACCCTGATGTCCTATGGATTGTGACAGGCCTCCCTTCATAGCCCTTTATGCTGTAGCACTGCTACATGCAGGATTTGAGTTTCATTTCAGGAGTAAGTCTTGCAGAGAATTCATTTCCAAGGAGCAGTATCAGGCTGGCTTACCACAAAAGCTGTAAATGTTTCTCAAGGGCTCTTCTGTATCTCTTGGGAGATACAGAAAAAAATAGAAGATAAGGAATTGTGAATTCCAAAAGTTTATTTATTAACAGTTGTAAGACAAGAGTAGATAAAACAAAATGGTTCAAGCCCGGCACTGGTGGCTCCTACCTGTAATTCTAGCTACTCAGGAGGCTGAGATCTGAGTTCAAAGTTCAAAGGCAAGCCAGGTAGGAATGTCCTTGAGACTCTTACCTTCAATTAACCAGCAAAATGTCTTACTGGCTATAATGGTAGAGCACTACCCAGGAACAAAAAATCTAAGGTAAGCTGGGTGCAGGTGGCTCACTCCTGTTGTACTTACTAGCTACTAAGGAGGCTGAGATCTGAAGATTTTGGTTCAAAGCAAGAAAGTCTCTGTGAGACTATTCTTCCCAATTAACCACCCAAAACTGGAAATGGCGCTGTGGCTCAAGAGTGTTAGCCTTGAGCACAGAAAACCTCAGGGACAGCATGCAGGCCCTGTGTTCAAACCACACACACACACACAAAGCTCAGGGACAGTGGGCAGGTCCTGAGTTCAAGCCCAGTACTAGAGCACAAAAATAAAATAAGAAAGAAGATTGGCTCATAATTACGTATTTCAAAGCCAGGTAGGTATATGGTATATTCCTGTATCCCAGCCCCTGGAGGCTGAAGCAGAAGGATCATGAGTTTGAGGCCAGCCTGAGCTATATAATATGGGTCAGATTTCGCTCTAGTGGGCACTTTTAAATGTGTCTGTGGTGTCAGAAATACATGTGCCCTCTTGCCAATCTCCTATAGTCATCCTGTATTTCCTATAAACCCACTGTCACAAACTATCTGGTGACCATCTATTTTTCTTCCTTGATTGTTAGACATTTGTTGCATGGCTTAAAATTGTGTTTGGCTTTTTGTGTCTCAAAATAAACGTATACGTACCAAAGACCAAGAATTAAACCAGGCAATCTGCCTTCACAAGGAGGTCAGCCAGGATGCTCGGAGGCATGCATTCACTGCTTATACCAGGTCTTCTACATCACTGTGGACAGATGAAGGGAGGCTGTGGCCACAAATGAGTGGGGGCAGGGTTGACCATGAATGTCAGACTAGGAAATCATCATCCAGACACAGTCTGGGTGACCTCATTCAGTCAGCCACAGAGTCATCACTTGTGAACTGAAAACCAGAAATCAGGCAGGTCTCTGTGCTCCAGACAGGGAAAAACAATGCCAAATAATACACTCCCCCATGTCCCTCTGTAGCCTGTGCTAGTGGGGAAGAGAGAGATAATATATAATTAGCATGGTTTGCCTAGAAAAACTGGATCTATGTTTGCTAAGTGAATCTGAGAATAGTTACATAAGGTCCAGTGGAACCTTAAGACTTAAGTTTGGGGTTGGAGGTATGGCTCAGTTGGTAGCATGCTAGCCAATGAGTGAAAGCTGCAGGTACTGATTTTGAGTGCTAGTCTTTTTTTTTTTTTGGGTGCGGTCGTGGGGCCTAAACTCTGGGTCTGGGCACTGTCCCTCAGCTCTTCAGCTCAAGGCTAGTGCTACCACTTGAGCCACAGCACCACTTCCAGCTTTTTTCTTTTTGCTTATGTGATGCTGAGGAATCGAACCCAGGGCCTCAAGTATGCAAGGCAAGCATTGAGTGCTAGTTTTGGACTTCAAAAAAGAAAAATTAAGGAAAGACTAAGTGCTACTTTTAGGTGGGATTCTAGATTAAAAGAATGAAGACAGAGAAAGAATGTCCTTTTATGACTACATTTTAATTTAAATTATGGAAATTCCTCATATATTTCACTTCTCTGAGTAAGGTTACAGTTATGCTGTTATTGACCCCTATTCTTTGAGGTTTGGGATGGCCTCCCTCATGTAGATAGCAAAAATAGAATGTCTTCCAAATAGCATTTTTCCAGACTAGAATTGTTTTCCCTTTCCTAATCCAAACATGTTTTCCCAGTAGAGTTGAGTTCTAAAATCTTATATTCTATCACTTGCACTGGGTGTTTATATTCTTGTAAGCATATTTTACAGTTCTAAGCTAGAGGTGGACTTTGCCCTGGGTTTGATCATTAATTGACATTCCTTGAAGAAAGAGGGGAATGATTTTGTGTGTTTTCCAGACTTTCCAGCTGCGCAATGGCCTCCCCGAAGAAGAAGTTGCAGGGTCTTGTTGCTGCCACAATCACACCAATGACTGAGAATGGGTAACTATCACGTGGGGCCATAAAGGGATCTGTTCTCATTCAACCAGAAAGGACAGAACTCTCTATAATTACAGTCCCTCAGGCTCTGGACCTGGTGGGGAGGGGAGGTACTCTTGCCAAGTGGTAGCTTGTTTGTATCTCATCTCGGTTCTATACCATCCCTGGACAGACAGACAGACAGACACACACACACACACACACACACGCCAGGGTCTGTCATAGGGCTTGAACTCTGGGCCTGGGTGCTGTCACACACACACACACACAGACACACACACACACACACACACACCAGGGTCTGTCAGGGGGCTTGAACTCTGGGCCTGGGCGCTGTCCCTCATCTCTTTAGCTCAAGGCAAATGCTCTACCACTTGAACCAAGGCGCCACTTCCAGTTTTCTGGTGGTTAATTAGAGATGAGTCACACAGAAGATAGATAACCTTTTCAAAGGCCTTGGTTTTTGGTATTCTCTTCCTCAATTTTTAAACATTAACCTTATCCCTCTAAAGTAGATGAAATTTCTTTTCTTTTCTTTTCTTTCTTTTTCCTTTTTTGTTGGTTGTAGAGCTTGAACTTGGGGCCTGAGCTGTCTTGATCTGACTTGAACTGTCCCTGAGCCTCTTTGTGATCAAGGCTAGCGCTCTACCACTTTAGCCACAGTACCATTTCTAGTTTTTGGGTGATAATTGGAGATGAGTCTCATGGGGACTTTTCTACTTGAGCTGGCTTTGAGTGATGGTCCTCAGATCTCAGCCTCCTGAGTAGCTAGGATTACAGGCATGAGCCACCGGATCCTGGTGATAACATTTCTTGTGGCTTTCAGCATTCTCATTCAGGGTGACCAGATCATAGTTCTTCCTTAGGTCTACAGAGTCCAAGACTCTGGCTTCATCCTGATTATTTCTTTTCTTTCTTTCTTTCTTTCTTTTTTTTGGTCAGTCATGGGACCTGAACTCTGGGCCTGGGCACTGGTCCTCAAGCTCTTCAGCTCAAGGGTGCTCTACCACTTGAGCCACAGCACCACTTCCAGCTTTTTCTGTTTATGTGGCACTGAGGAATCAAACCCAGGGCCTCATGCATGCAAGGCAAACACTACCACGGAGCCACCTTCCCAGCCCCCATCCCGACTATTTCTAACTTGCCGAGGTTGCATTTTGACTACTCAGCTGGTTTGTGACAGTTTGGGGGTTTTTGTTGGTGGTGATGCTGATGGTTATTTCACTTTTCCACAAGTTCTAGAAAAGACTGAAGTCAGCTGTTTCTCAATGCAACAACTACTTATTTGGCAGATAAAGCAGAAGACATGTGACTTCATGAGGCAGATTAACTTCCTGCTACAGAGTTAAAAACACTCCATCTGGTCAGTGCTGCTTTAACCTTTGAATAGAGACCCCCCTCTGTGCCTGGAAGTGGCTTCTTAAAGCAGCCTAATTGCTCATCCACAACCCACTGAGAGTGTCAGTGTGTCCTTCCTCTGTATTGTGCTATTTTCCTGGAAGCCAAGGACTCTGCTTTTCTGCTTTGTTTCCATTTCTCAAAATCCTCTTGCCCTTATACCTTCATTTTGCTATTTTTTCTTTTTTTCTTTTTTCTTTTCTCCTTTTTTTCTTTCCTCCAGTCCTGAGGCTTGAACTCAGGCCTGTCCCTGAGCTTCTTTTGCTCCAGGCTAGCACTCTTACCACTTGAGTCACAGCATAAGTGGAGTAATTTTTTTTGGGGGGGGAGTCCAGTTGTGGGGCCTGAACTCTGGGCCTAGGCACTGTCCCTCAGCTCTTCAGCTCAAGGCTAGCACTCTACCACTTGAGCCACAGCACCACTTCTGGCTTTTTTTTTTTTTTTGCTTATGTGGTGCTGAGGAATTGAACCCAGGGCCTCATGCATGCAAGGTAAGCTCTCTACCACTGAGCCACCTTCCTAACCCCTGGAGTAATTATTTATTACCTAAACTCCAGAAGAAAAAATTCTCATCAGTTTTGTTTGTTGTTGTTGTTGTTGTTTTGTGTGCAGTCCTATGGCTCGAACCCAGAGCCTGGATGCTGTTCCTGAGCTTTTTGTTGTTTTTGTTGTTGCTCAAAACTAGCACCCTATCACTTGAACCACAGCTCCACTAATGACTCTTTGTTTGTTTGTTTTATTGGAGATAAGTGTCTCAAGGACATTTCTGCCTGGGCTGGCTCAAACCATGATCCTCAGATTTCAGCCTCCTGAGTAGCTACAATTACACCTATGCCCAACTTCATTAATTTTCTTTTTTTGGGAGTGGTAGGTGCTGGCCATAGGGCTCAAACTCAGGGTGTAGGCTCTGTCTCTGAGCTCTTTGGCTCAAGGCTGGTGTTCTACCACTTTGAGCCACAGCGCCACTTCTAGTTTTCTAGTAGTGAATTGTAAATAGCAGTCTCATGGACTTAACTGACCAGACTGGCTTTGAACTGTAATCCTCAAATCTCAGCCTTCTCCTGCCTCATCAAATTATTTTTAACCACAATCTGAAGCTTATAGCAGCTAGATGTGAAACTGCATGGAGACTACAGATCTTCTGTCAGGGCATGAAAAAAGGTCCTTTTTCCCAAGTGGCTTTTTTGAGAGAAATCCCCATCACTGCTGCTGTCATTGGTTCCCTTTCTTGGTACCTGACACAGAAGGAAAGTTCTTCTCTTTATTTGCAAAGACAAGCAATATAACTGGAATGGTAGGGCCAATATATCAGAAATCACATCTCTCAGTCATCAAAATCAGGTAGAAGTTATGTGTGCTCATGGCAAAAATAACTACTTTGCTATTTCTGAACTTTCGAGCAGACAAGTATACAAGAAGAAACTGTCCCAGCCTAGGGGAGGTTGAAGATGGTTGGTTCTGGGAGCCTGGTCACTGGTCATAGTTAAAATGACAACAAGCAAGGGCTAGCAAGGGCTAGGCTAGCAAGGGCTAGGCTCAGTGGTAGAGTGCTTGCCTTGCATGTAAGAGTCCCTGGGTTCGATTCCTCAGCACCACATAAGCAGAAAAAGTTGGAAATGGCACTGTGACTCAAGTGGTAGAGCTTGAGCTGAAGAGCTGAGGGGCAGCTCCCAGGCCCAGAGTTCAGGTCCCATGACTGACAAATAAAATAAATAAATAAATAGAAAACAAGCCATGAATTCTGATTCCCAAATGCCAGGTGCTTTCTGGAAAGAGGCTTGTTTGTATAGATTTCCATAGGGAAGCAATGACATGTGAGAGAGAAAACACAATTTATTTCTTGCTGCATATTTGCTCAGAAGGAAAAGTGCCTTTTTGTTGTTGAGACTGAGTTTTGTTATGGTGTCCAATCTAGTCTCAAACTCCAAGGCTCAAGTACTCCTTCAAATAGCCTCCTTGAGTATATCCAGGACGAAAGGGATGTGCCATGGTACCTAGTGAGCTAAGAACAGTGACTCGTTTTCCTTTTCTAATATAGACATTGTATTGCTTGGGGCAAGTGTGCTAGCTTTTAGGATCTGTTTCTTCACCTGAAAAAAAAAATAGAGATATAGTTCTCTCTTAGTTGTCTAGATTAAACTGGAACTTATAGATAAAAATGCCTGTTATGCTAGCTACTAAGGAGGCTGAGATCTGATGATCACAGCTCGAAGCCAGCCCAGGCAAGAAAGTCCATGAGATGCTGATCTCCAATTAACCCCCAAAAAGCCAGAAACTGAGCTGTGGCTCTGTTTTTTTGCTACCCTTGAGCAAAAATGCTTAGGAATAGTGCCTAGCACCTTGGCCCTGAATTCAGGCCCCAGGACTAGCCAACAACAACAACAACAAAAAAAAAAAACCAAAGTGAGAGGAAAGAGAAAAGGAAGGGCAAGAGTGTTGTCCTAATTATTCTTCCAGACCCAACTGCTTGACAACTCCTTTCCACCTCAATACTTGGAATTTTTCAGCCCCTTGTCTGAACCTCCATGTGCCTAATTCATATACACGCTATCAGTTAACACACAGTGAAACTTCATAACGTCATATAAAATGTGGTGTCAGCTGATAGGAAGACAGAGATGGAGAGTAGTCACATGACCACTCCTTTGCCTTTCTGGCCTTTACTGAGGTCCCTTGCTCTGTCAAGTACAGCCAGGCAGTGCTATGAGTGGGCATGAGCACCGTAAGAGAGCCTGCTCTGGTGGCAGGCTTACATCTGCACTGATGCATACCTTTTCCTGAGTGGCAGGCTCAGCTCCCTTTATAGCTTTCCCCTGAGCACACTGTGGAGTGTTTGGCACTGCATTTTTTGCTTTCTTGCTTGCCCTTTAATCTCCGAGTCAGCTGTTTTTTATTCTCTTCTTCTTCCCTTTGATAAATACCCTTTGATATCTGTTTCTTAGATGCATCAGAGTTTTCACCTTATTTTTATTATTGTAGAAATTCAATACGATGAAAAGCACATTAATAAGGCTAAAAATTAGGATTCTCTGTACAAATGGCAGCCGGGTACTTTGTGTCCTAGGCAATGTTACCATGGTTGCTGCCCGGTTTTCTTTTGGATTCTCACTCTCCTTTGCCCATCCTCCCCTGCTGCATTTTGACTCAAGACAGGCCACTAAATACATCTTGTAAGTCAGTTTTTAGATTTTAAACTCAACATGACCTTAAAGGACAGTGCTCTTAGCATCTACCTCAGGTATTAGATCCTGGCAAGGTTAGCGAGGTGCACACTGTTGAAAAGGCAGCTAGCACTGGACCTTACCAAAATGCAGATTGTGCCAGGATAGGACCATGGGTAAACTGGGATTATGCGTGTCTGACAGACTTGCCAGATATCCATGCTGCTCTTTTCAAAATGTTTGGCTCTCACTCTGAGAGACAGAGTGACAGCAAAGCTCCTTTCCAACTCTTAATCCTCTTCAGTTTAAAACTAGCAAATACAGATGGATTTAAGTCTTCATTTGTTGTCACAAATGTTAAGTGCTAAAAGTTATTATAGTCTTAAGATTGAATTTTCCTAGCTGAATTTTCCACCAAGTTCAAAAATGTTAAGTTCTTGCCTGGTGCTAGTAGCTCCCACTTGTCATCCTAGCTACTCAGGAGGCTGAGATCTGAGGATCACAGTTCAAAGCCAGCCTGGGCAGGAAAGTCCATGAGACACTTATCTCCACTTAACCTCCAGAAAATGGGAAGTAGAGCTATGGTTCAAAGTGGTAGAGAGCTAGCCTTGTGCAAAAGAGCTCAAGGATAGCATCCAGGCCCTGAGTTCAAGTCCCATGACTCACCCCCCAAAAAAGTTCTCATGTCTCCATCCACACCCACCTATCTCTTTCCCAAAGAAAGAACATATATGACTAGCAAATTTCTTTTTAAAGCATTATTTGTAGTGAAGTTTAAATGTAAATGTAAAACCTCTTTTGAATAGTTTTCTTCTCATGTAAATGAGGCGCATGTGGCTGGGTTGTTATGTTACCAAGATCAGAGGAACAAAAACACAAAACAAAAGTATTTTTTTGAGGGGGGGTCTGGTTGTGAGGCCTGAACTCTGGGCCTGGGCGCTGTCCCTCAGCTCTTCAACTCAAGGCTAGCACTCTACCACTTGAGCCACAGCGCCACTTCCGGCTTTTTTTCTTTTTGCTTATGTGGTGCTGAGGAATGGAAGCCAGGGCCTCAGGCATGCAAGGCAAGGGCTCTACCACTGAGCCACCTTCCCAGCCCAACAAAAGCATTTATTCAGAGCACCCTAGATCACAAAATAGATTTTTTTTTTCCAGTCATGGGGCCTGAACTCTGGGCCTGGACACTGTCCCTCAGCAATTTAGCTCAAGGCTAGTGCTCTACCACATGAGCCACACCTCCACTTCCGGCTCTTTCTGCTTATGTGGTGCTGAGGAATCAAACCTAGGGCCTCATGCATGCAAGGCAAATACTCTATCACTGAGCCACATTTCCAGCCCCACAAAGTGGATTTTTAATAACTATTAACAAGCATATAGCTGGCCACCAGTGGCTCATGTCTGTAATCTTAGCTATTCAGGAGTCTGAGTCCTGAGGCTTATGGTTTAAAGACAGCTTGGACAGCAAAGCCTATGAGACTCTTCTTCTGGTCTGTCACAGGGCCTTGAACTCTCGGCTTGGGTGCTGTCCCTGCACTCTTCAGCTCAAGGCAAGCACTCTCCCACTTGAGCCTTAGCACCACTTCTGGTTTTCTGGTGGTTTATTGGAGATAAGAATCTCACGGACTTTCCTTCCTGGGCTGGCTTTGAACTTCGATCTCAGCCTCCTGAGTAGCTAGGATTACAGGTGTGAGCCACTAGTACCCGAGTATGAGACTCTTTTTTTTTTTGTCGGTCGTGGGGCTTGAACTCTGGGCCTGGGCGCGGTCCCTCTCAGATCTTCAGCTCAAGGCCAGCGCTCTACCACTTGAGCTACAGCGCCACTTCCGGTTTTCTGGTGGTTTATTGGAGATAGGAGTCTCACGGTCTCTCCT